TAACAGTACGCGGAACTCCCGTGAGAATGATAGGCGCCGCGCGATGCAATTTGTGAGGAGCTACTCTAGCCCGAACTATGCGCTCTGGTGTGTATTTGGAGACTAATTTGCCTTCCCTGATCCATCCTACTTTCCGCCGAAAGTAAGTGGACAGGTAGGGACAAATCTTACTAATTCAGCGGTTTTACCCGTTCGCGTGAATCCTGGAATTTTTAGTTCACACGTTTAAGGCACGTTCTCGGTACGATAAGACCGGAAGCTAGCTTCCTCACATGTTGCTGGAGTCGGCATCTCCGAGTTCGCGTGGTTTCTTTGTTGCATATATATGTGTGTGCGAGATCCAAGTCCAAAAGGCACGGCACGTGACACGGGTAATAAAGGGACATGTACTTTATAATATAGCTAAAATTTTAAGCTGATCAAATAAACAGTTTTTGAGGAAAAATGTCAACACAATTAAAAAATGTTGCTTCGACAGGTATATAAGAAAATGTTTCTTAGCTGAGGCTAATCTTAAAACCTAAGTGTTATACTTTTTTTTTACACAATTCACAAATGATAAGACAACTTTATTGTAGGAAGCACTAAAATGAAATTAATTAATGAATACCCATGTATGGTATCGATAATAATGTCTTCATCATAATCATGCAACTAACTTTTTCAACTTAGCGAATTTCAAAAAATTTTGAATTTGATTCTTTCTTAAATTCAAAATAGAATATAAGAATTGTTATAAAACATTATAACAAAAGACTTAACGATGCATAGGATTAACGAATATATGTTCTTTTTGTTAAAGCAATTGTTGTCTATCTATACAATATTAAGCCAATGAAACTTTTGTTAGTATATTTCCCATCTAGAAAGTTTTGCACAATATAAAAAGTAAAGCAAAGTCGGGAACATCCCAGACAACACATATGTGCAAAATTCATCTTGAACATGTCTTAAAGACAACTTCTGTTCCATTAGACACTTTAAAGACGACATTTGGACATTATGCGTTGTTTGGGATGTCGAAAGAATGTTGTCTTTTTGGTAATTTTTACGTATTTTCACCAAACTTCTTAACCTTTTGAAAACAAGCGACCAATTAATCAGTATCCCCTTTTATTTTTAAAATTGTTCACTTAATTTTCATAAAACCTGACGTACAGGGGTTTTCGTGATGCGCTATTCAAATCAGAGGACAGAAAAGTACAATTTAATTTGGCGGATTAATATGGTGTATCGGATTTCGAAAAACTAATCCGATCATCGCAAAACGCGGTTTAACAGGGTTTTGGCCTCGCTGAATTTATATGTAATCATACAATTTCGAAGTACCAAACAACAAATCTAATTTCCAAAAATTATCCAATGTTTGTGAAACCTGGCTTTAAGCACTGTAAATTCTAGTTTACATGCCGTAGCAAGGTATAGAAAATTAACCATACACAGAGAAAAATAGATGCTAAGAATTTGATAATTAAAATCAATTCCGCTTCGGGGTGACTTATTTACATTTTAATTCATAAGGAGATGGCTCTTCCGAATGGAACTGTGCCGCAGCCTGACTATAGTAATGATTCTAACTAGAATTTTTTTGAGATTGGACCGAACGTCAGCCCGATCCGATTTCCCCGCGAGGGGATGTGATATTATACATCTTTAGTACTTATTATCTAATAACATATTACGCTCAATATATAAATGTTTGAATACGTACAACACGAAATACTATCACTATACGAAATAAAAAATATACTAGGGTAGACTGGGTACGGTTGAAACATTTTAGCATTTATCGTCCATTGCATCGAGATTAGTTAAGCGAGCGATGACGGCAATATATTAAATAAAAGACCATATATCTGTCTACTAATGTACAATGTTATTTGAGATCACTGTATTGTATTTTATGTGTAAAATCAAATTTAAAAAAAATGTAATTTGTTTCAACCGTTCCAATGCCAGGGTTGGTTGAAATAGTTCCTGGGGTCAATTGAAACACATGCAAATAATACAAAATATAATAAATGAACATGTTTTATTCATCGTCAAAAAACATTTTACGACTCGTAATGGCACAGTTGAACATCACAAATATTTTTTTATTAATATTCAAGTCTTTCACGATATTTATAATCTAACATTATTTTTAATCAGCCTTCAAAGGTTTATATTAAGTACAACTTAAATTATATAATAGTCAGATGTTGGTGACGATTATTTTTTTTGTAATATTTGTGTACTACTTGCTATTATATTTCTTAAAAATTCAACAGCATTACCGGCGTGGTGTTGGCGATGGTGTTGGCGTTTGAACTACATTTTAGTACTCCAGCTAACAAAATACTTTGAGTAAAACTTCAAAACATTATTTCTATAAACATCTACATTTTGATGCATAGATAAACAAATGACAAAACAAAACTTTAATACTTTTTGTTTGAGAGAATAAAATTCAACAGCTTTAAAAACAAACTTTAGCACTTAAGCTATAAAATAGGTTAAGAAAAAACTAAAGACTTATTATTTCTATAAAAATCAATATTTTAAACAAAAATACTTAAGTGGTTACAAGATCATTCGGAATCACAATTGTGGCAAACATAACTAAGACTAGCTTCTGTGCACTCTTCATGCGCCCACATTTTACATTCTGTGCATTGTATCCATTTTTCCCCTGGTCTGCTTTCTGAATATGCTGACATACAAACAACGAAGTAGCACTCCTCTTCTTCTGATGATGATGATTCATGTTGCGTGCTAATTTTTGCCCTGTTTGTAGCATTTCTTTTAGTCTTTCTTCCATCTAATCTTTTCTTAACTTGCTTAGTTCTGGTTCGTTTCAATCTGTTTTCATGTTCTCTTCTTATCTCTTCTTTTTCAGGGGTGTCTGTGTAGATTGCAGATTTCCTGATTTTTCGCCCCCTGTTTGTTAATTTCCTTGGAGGAGCTTTTGGTAGTGGTCGTACTGCTTCCGGCGAAAACGTAAGTGGTGTACTCGAAGTCGCGATATTTTCCGTTTGATTTGTCAACACAGGAACGGATTGAGAAATTGTAGAGGGTTTGGGTGACATTTGCTGAACACTACCACTACTTTGATGTCCGGGTAGTTTAATCAAAGATTCTGGATCTGCAATGATGATTTCTTGTTCTCTGTCTAGGACTTGGGAACACTGTGGCATATTTACAGTTTGTTGTTGTACAAAAAGAGTTGTATTAGAAAGCTCCTCCGACTCTTCTGGTGGTTCGAGAGTTAAAATAGAAGGTGATGGTGTTGGCGTTTTATCCTCAGGTGTACTTGTATTCTGAATAGGGCCCTCAGTTGCCTCGATTGTATTTACAGGATTTGGCCTATCTGTCACAAATGCAGCTGCAAAATCGAGATCAGTAAACAAATGCCGATTAAATGGAACAATCTCAGTTGTGCGAAAGCCAGCTTGAATGTTGGATTGTGTAAGTGCAAGCGGCATAGCAGTAGCTAAAATCCGTGGATGTCATATGTTGACATTGTCTTGCCGGGGTGGCTTCGCATCCATCCATCACAGGTAGAATTTACAGCTTTCTTCAGCGGACCGAATACAGATCGATCAAGCGGTTGGAGTTTATGTGAGCAGTGGGGAGGGAAAGATAACATCACAATGCCATTCGTCTTGCAAAAGTCTAATGCGTTAATGTGAATATGTGAAGAGTGGTTATCAAGCATAAGTAAGACTTTATGTGAAGGAGAAGCATTTGTAATGTTTCTTGAAGTGTTCCAGGAATTGAATAAATATTTCATACTGCATCCAGCCAGAAGGATTTGCACTTCCAGCAGATCCTATTGGTCCATCCCTGATAAAGTGATCTTGGTATCGCACTCGCGGAAAGACAAAGAATGGAGGAATAGCATTTCCGATTGTGATACCTATGAACTTTTTGCCAAATTAAGAAGCAGCGGTTTTAAATTAACGACTCCGGTTTTATCAATATAAAACTTTTATTAGTACTCGCACTTTACATGTTTCTTCTTCCACACGCTGACGAACTCTCTCCTCTCTACCTTTCAGAAGCGCCACTGTGCTGCCCATCGGCACACACGTATACTACACGATGGCATTGACCGCAAAGGCTACTGTGACTAAAGTACTCCTCTCGACTGAAGTCACTGAACCTACTTGACGAGCACCACGTCTAGCTATTATTCTGTCGGGTTTTTGCACAGTAGTTATGCCGGTCTTATCAGCATTATATATATTTTGTGGTTCAAATTTATAACGATCCGTGATAGTAGCCAAATTGTCGTAGAAAGCATCTACGTTAATTCTATTAAAGCTAGTCGTCCTAGAAAGACTTGTAGCCTGTGCTGCGCGTACTGATAGTTGAGGATTTCTTCTCATAAACATGCGAAAACATTCTTCGCTAGCCATTTCGTTGTCATCCGAAGTCCGAGGTCGTGATAAGTCGTACTTGACGGTTAGTTCGTATGCCAATTTCATAACATCCTTTTTAGTAAGACCAAAATATATGTCTGCACATCTAATTAAATATTTAGATAGCTCATGCTCTTGTTCCTGGTTAAAGGCTCGATTGTGAGCCTTATATCCCATTTCTTGATTTTCATCGCCACCAGTCGCATCTCGTTTACGTACATATCACAACAGGGAACAGTGGTTTAGTTCATTCTTTTCTGCCGCTGTTCTTAACGAAGATCCGGCTTTTACATCTTCATAGGCTTGTTTGTACGTTGATAAGTCGGCCTGACCTCTCGTAGTCTTCCTTTGGCGTACCCATCTAAGAAACAAAAAAATTAAATAAATAAACTGTTTCAACCGTACCCACAAAACATTTTTCAACTGTCCCCAACCCCCCTTCTAAGTATAAAACATTTCACGGTAACGATAATAATAAATTTGAATAAAAACTAATCATACAGCCATATTCTACAAACTTCAATTAAAACGATACAAAACTCTCAATACTCTAACTTTAATAACACCATAATAATTGCAAAAATGTACGAACAAAAAATACTTACTTTTCCGTCAAAAAACACAGTGGGGCCTCCTATACACAAGCACAGCGCGCGAACAGCGACGCAACACTAAAATTTGTGTTTTGAGTCGTCGCCCGCTTCGTTCTCCCCTTGCACCCCTCATCGCATCACGCACGGTGTCGAGATATTCGCCTTGTTTCAACCGTCCACCGTTTCAACCGTACCCAGTTTACCCTACTGTTTAGCATTTCTATACATCCTATTGTCCTACGTTGGGCGCGAATGTTATGTTCTCTTTTAGTGAGTCGTGGTGAATCTTTACGTTTCACCACGTGTTGGATATAGGATTTCCTTAAAGAGCTCGTGCTCTGGGCCGACGAATCGGATCTGTAGGTAGGTGATTCAACCAATCCGTTTCTTTTAAATTTTAGACTTGTTTTTATTAAAATAGGTTATTTATCTTGCTACAGATTAGGGTTATGAAGCTACCACCGGGCTATGTTAGAGAGAGCTTGTTTTATTCCAATCTCTGATTTTAACCTTCATAGAGGTGTGGATGATGTTTTTTGTTGAACCGATCATACGGCTTGCCGCGCCATGTGGTTTACCAATGATCGTCCTAATTGGTGTAGGTATTGTTCCTGTTGGGCATATAGCTAAGCTAGCGTAATGCTATCCGCTAATGTCGTACAGTCGCCCGGTATTTGGACGATATATGGTTCGCAATGCAATATTGATCACCAATCCCACTTTTAGGAACGAATTTAGTATGGCGTGGCAACGCTATGTTGTCCGCCAGCGTCGTCCCGTAATTCAGTGATTTTTTGGATCAGAAGGTCGTGTACATCTAATAATGGTGTTATTATTGTCACCCGCTGACAAGATACTTTTAGGTAGTATGGTGTGGGAGACTTGAGAGGCAAGATGGTCAGGTGGTTTCTCCAATGCCGTAACCCTGTTTATTCCTCTCGTCCCTGTTTTAGCTTTGAGTATCATTTAGACGCGCTATGACTCCAACGAACCCTTCCAGACTATCCAGGGAGGATCATTACTCCTTTACTTTTTCCTTTCTAAATCCTGAATCTCTCTCTCGAGCTTCACCGTAGGAGGTGTAATGACTGAATGAATTTTGTTGCCGTTCCGCTGAGCTTTTATATTCGCGGAGCATACGTTATTACATGATTTGAATTTTGTGCATTGTTGCGTTGTCTCATCTATGAGACACGCAAGTATTATACACGCAATTATTACTAACACGCAAGTATTATACACGCAAGTATCACTTTGGGTGATTTAAAATATCTTCCCGCGTAAAGTTTAAAGGGACTTTACTTGTTTTGTTTTTTGGTTTGTTTTCCCTTAGAATGCCCTTGGTTCATAGGCGCCTGGCTGATTCCATCATTGGGAGTTATATAATCAAAATACAAATATTGCGTTTGCGCTTTTTGATAATAAAATGAATATACGCTCCATTACGTTACAAGCTAGAATAAAATTCAGCGATTCGGAAAAAAAACTAAAACCAAGTTTGACGATATTCAAAGAGATGCGCCATTTAAATTTTCAAAATTCTGAGGCCAAAACCGAATTATGTGACTTCAAAAACCCTAATAAGACAAGATCTTGTATAAATTACTTTGTCAGAAGGCTCTTGTCCTAAAAGAGTTAAAAAAGTTTACTATTCCACCAACATTTCCTTTCTGTATCTTATTCTTAGTGATAGAGTGACTAGTAATCTCAATCAAGTGACTTGTGTACTGTACTACTGTGTATTGTAATATAATGATAATGAATGAATTAATAATGATGATAATGAATCCATCACCATTAATAAATATGTCATGTCATTTATAAATGCATTACAGTCGGACCTACCGGACTGATGATAGTTTGAAAACCTGTAAAACTAAAAGAATTACTAAAAGAGAGAGAACGCCAGTGGTGGCAATGCTGTTGGTAAACCGTCGATAAAAAGATAAACTACTGTGTGCGTATTACTACTACATCCCTGATTGAAAGACATAAAAATTAGGTGAAACGGTCAGTGCCTAAAACTTTGCGCGTTGAAATCTGTCAGTACCTGTTTTTTTTTTAATTTGAGGATTATTTATTTCGAGAATGGACTCTAAAAATGTAAGTAAAATATTGTTTACTTACTTAATTATTCGTCAATAATATTTTTAATGTAATAAATAATAAAACTACATTATGTTGAAACTTGATAGTGAGGTTGGATGATTACAACATTTTTAAAAAATTTGATGTATTTGAAGAAAATTAATGACAATAATATTGCGCAAACGTGTGGCGTTTATGAGCAACTTCGCAGAATAGCAAGCGCCGCCGTTAGTAAGTTAAGTTTTGTTAATAAGTTTTCTATACTCATGTAGTCACACGTAGTATTTAGAAACGACATTGTGCTTGAAAAAATTTGAAATCATTTGGACACTTGGAATAAATTCTTCTTCGTTCTCAGTACTAGGCTTTATTTTCATTTTTGGAACAACTACCAGAACTGCTTGAAATAAACTGGAGTTTTGGAGAAAATTATCACTCAAAATTCAATGCTATACTCTTTTGATAAACATAAAGATTACTAGCATTATTTTCAGTCACATGAGAAAGAACAATAGGTGAAAAATTTATATAAGAATTTACATGAAATATATAATATAGTATATATAATTAAAATATATTATTTATAAACGTATATGATATAGAAGAAAGAATGGTTACATCGATTACTTCCGTGATAGGTGGCTATTTCTATGACTGTCAGAACTTTTTCTTTTATGTAATGGCTATTTCGATGGCATTAAAGTGGCATCCACTTTGAATTTCCCACATTTCTTAAATTATTGTATTATGTATAGCATTGGTTATCATTTCTGAAACAGTATACTATAGCCAACAGTCAGTAGCCTCACTAGAATTACAGACTCAACAAGTTGCCCAGTGCATTCCCCGTGTCACCTGCCCAGCTGTTTATTTGACTGCATTTCTAAGGTCCTAGTAATATCTAAGAGTATCAGCGAGAAATGACTACAAAAGTCAACGAGATCCGTTTGCCAAGTCTCGTCCAGCTGACGGATGTCAACGCGTCGACGCTTGTAATTTCTTCTAGTAGGTCTATGTAGTTCTTCCACCAATACTAACTTTTTTCCATCCATTATCCAGTGCATTCAGTCTGGCGTCTAGCTGGGGAATGATCTCGGAATTGCGAATGGTCAAGTCCTGTACTGTCTCTATATCGGTTTTTAGACGCTTCAATGCATTCTTTACGGTAGAATTCAGAGCTCAAATCGTGAAATTGTTATTATCCATATCATTGCGTATTCTAGCAGTCACAGAAAATACGGTTCCAAAATCTTGCTTCACTATAGTTTTCATCAGATTTAAGGTCTCCGCATCGGTTTGCTCCTCGAGATTGGCGACGTTGCAATGCCTCTTATTATCAATGTCGTAGTGTCCAGCAGCAGTGAATTTGAATGCAGCACCAGGAAGACTACAGCTACTCGTAACCGCGGCCGTACTACTCGACTGATGTCCACGTCGACGTTCATGTACAAAGTGACGATCGTTATCGTTTTATTGAATTAATAAATGATCCCCGCCTCGCGCAACTATTCTATAATCGATACAATTTCGTTGGAGGGGCTAGGATTATCAGCTTCTCGAGACCCGAGAAGCAAGCGAAGACGGTCTACCAGTTCGTTGATTACCCAGTACACGTAATCTGTTCGTCTGTCCTTGGTAGCAATCATGTACTGCGGTACAAAATATTGTGACGTACTGGGCAGATTCTTACACCCAGGATCAGCTCAAATTAGCTATCGCAAAAAACTAAAAGGAAGGGGAACGTGAAAAGAAAAGGGAACACGGGGTATAACGTAAAAGAATATAATTAATAGAGTAAATGCTGATACAAGAAGAAAACAGAGAAGAAAATAAGTCCGAGATTACAGAAAAGAAACGGTAAGCAAATAAATCCGCAAATATGTAATACACGCAAATATACACGTAATACATAGACTAGACACGTAAAACAATAACATGCGGGTGCTCGCTCTGGAGCACGCGGCGTCGAAGGGATTTAACACGTTCGCTGCCGAGCGACATTTTCAAACCTCTAAGAAGTTGGCCCCTTATTATGAAAATTACTAAAAAAAAGTTAGAGTTCTGCTTGCCCCCGGAAGAGTTCTAGAGATCCTGATATTGTTTTTAGAAATAGTTCTGTCGATTAAATGCAAAAAATTGCGATATTTGAAAATGGGAGGCCAACTTCACGGCGCCACCCATTTTTGAAAAAATGTAATTTTTTTGACAGTTCTGAATAGATTAACAATAGTTCTACAGTTCTCTGCACTTTTCATCAATAGTTACGGTCATTATCCGCTTCAAAATAAAGTTTGATAAAATACGTCAGCCCCCCATCTTTTAAAAAATCGTATTTTTTTTAGTGTTCCGAATAGTTCTCAAAGAGTTCTACAGTTCCCTATAGGTTTTGGGTACAATACATATCCAAATTCCGTCAAAAAATCATGTTGAAAAGAGTATTTCAAAAAATCAATTAATCGTATAAAATCCGACACCCCCAGAATACTCGATGGATTAATCAGGTCCAGGTATTCGTTTTGTACAACTCTCCGGAACTCCCATCAGAACTCCCGGAACTCTTAATTTTTTTTTTCCAAATTAACCCCACACGATAGAGAATTTCAAAGTGCCAGAACTCTTTCAATTTTAATTTCTCAGCTTTTTGCCATAGGAATTATCGATAGAACTCTTTGATAACTACCCGGAACTCCCATCAGAACTCCCGGAACTCTTAATTTTTTTTTTCCAAATTAACCTCACTTGCGATGGAGAATCTTCAAAGTACCAGAACTCTTTCAATTTTAATTTCTCATCTTTTTACCATAGGAATTATCAATAAAACTTTTTGAGAACTATTTTTCGACTGTGAAATCGTCAGATTTTGTACCCGCTCTCAGCGCTACCCAGAACCAACGACGTGGACGTGGCGGTGTTTTGGTTCCTTTTGTTATTTTTAATTTTTTAATTTTTTTACATTTTTATTTTTTAATTTGTTTTAATATTTCCTTTTTCAAATTGAACGTTGTTCATATGTATTTAGGCACGACAGCAGTACGCAAGTGCCTTATAGTTTCTATCGCGAAAAATGTGTGAGATGCGATATCTCACGCAATTTTCGGCCGATCGGGCTGAAATTTTGGGGGAGGTCTCCTCTCGTACAAACTAAAAAACTGTTTTTTTTTTATCTCGATCCTCTACGTCGTTTCAAAATGAGGGCACAATTTGATCGATTTTACGATTTTTTCGTGTATTATTTAATAAAAATTTTCATGTTACACGATTATCTCTGAGAGATTTCAGTCAATCGGGCTAAAATTTTTTGTGGGGACTCCTCTCATCACTAGAACCTTATGGTTCTATTTTGAGCTTGATCCTGTACATATACGCAGAATGCGGTCACCTCCAAAAATGGCTAAAAACGGTTTTTTGTCTGTATCTCGAATTCTAAGCATTCTA